CTGTCTTGGCCTATCTATCTTCTCTTTACCCTTTTATCCCATTGACGCCCTATCACAAACTTCACACTTTATTTATTCGATGGAGCTTTGAGGTATACTATTTCGATTGTGGGGCAGCTCATTGTAAGCGACGTAGGCCAGACCTCCTCTAAGTCATAGTTACAGCATATACGAAGAAAAGTTGGGTTTCGATAAATATCTTCTTTCATAATTGTTGAGTTCACTTCCATTTCAAGTAGAAGTGATGGGTGAAGAGATTCAAGGGTCGGTTCCACCAGAAGACGACGACGGATTCCTCTTGACCAGCTGTCGATTGGCTTTACTGGAAGACTCATGCTGACGCTGTTTCCGAGGCACTCTATTCTTCGATTCCGGTGAAAACGTGCTAGGCAGGTTGTGATGGCCGCTAGTTGTCTTGTTGTTATCGTTGAGCTGTTTTCGAGGTCGGATTGTTTGCGAAGAAAAGTTGGGTTTCGAGTAATCTCTTGTTTCATAATTGTTGAGCTTACTTCCGTTTCGGTGAAGAGATTCGAAGCTCGGCTCCACCAGAAGACTTGACTCTTGACTAGTTAGCTTGAATTAGGTTATGACGATGATGTCCGTCATATGACGGACGAAAGCTTAGCACCTTTTCACCTGAATCGAAGCAGATTGCCTCGGAAACAGCGTCAGCATGAATCTTTCAGTAAAGCCAATCGACAGCTGGTCAAGAGGAATCCGTCGTCGTCTTCCGAATCTCTTCATCCAACACTTCCACTCGAAATGGAAGTGAACTCAACAATAGTTACAGCATGTGTTTGCCATTTAAGATGGTGCTGTTACCCATTTTATTGAAAAGTAACCTTCAATGCCATCAATCATTCTGGAAGAAGAACATACTCCGCCTACATGGCTCAGGTCGAATTAAGGACTGATCGTCGGTCTTTTCCACAATCGCTTGGTGAGCAAAGCAGATGAGATTGCATAACAATTGGCCCTCACTTCAGTCAGATTGGAGGCCGTGGCAACCGAGTCGTGTGGTCTGTTGAGGTAATCGGCGTAAACCATACCCGCGACGCCGACTAGGCAACAGACGACACTGATCAGTTGCAGACGTGTGTACCGCCGGCCAAGGCAGGCCCAACTGAGCAACAGGCAGGTGGGAATGGAGAGACAGTCGAGGAGTTGGATGCTGGTGATGCTGGTCCACGAGTAGGCCGTCACCACGGCCCAGTTGGCGTGTACATCCAGCACCCCGGCCAGCAGGTACCAGGCGCCGCGATGTGGCCATTTCTGGCACCAGACGCCGAGCAGCGGAGACATTCGGCCTTTATGCAAGTGGAGAGGACGGCAAAAGAGGGTGTAAGTAGAAGACGGAGGGGACGGACAAGAGATGCGGACGAAAAAGATTTGCGAGCCACACCGACTGGTACGTGACAAGAGTTAAAAACATGCACAATACAGGCTGTTAGTGTGTAGAGCAAGCACGGCAAGAACCGAACCCATGAGGATGATGATGACAAGGGGGACCAAGTGATTAAGTCAATTATATAAATTAAAGATTTGAAAACCAAGATGTTGTGGCCTCTGGTATGATCGCAGTCTCCTCTCAACTTATAGAAGTGGGTTGACCTCGTCGCAACTTGGTCTTGTTGTCAGGGCGACTAAGTAGAACGTACCTATTTCTAAGTCGTCTGCCATAGTAGTTGCATGAGTGCCAACATCTGACAGTGGATTTGATACATTTTTAAAGTAAGTATAATAGAATATTACAGCAATATAATATAATATAATATATAAATTGCAATATAATATTAATATAATAAATACTTATGCAAGATAATATTAGTTTAAAAATATGAAGACCAAGATGTGGTGGCCTCTGGTATGGTCGCAGTCCCCTTTCGATTAATAGAAGTGGAATGACCTCATTGTCGCAACTTGGAATTGTTGTCAGGGCGACTATATAGAACGCACCTAGTCCGAAGTCGTCTGCCATAGTAGTAGTCATGATTGCCAGCATCTGACAGTGGAGTTGATACATTTTTAAAATAAGTATAATAGAATATTACAGCAAGATAATATAATATAATATAATATATAAATTGCAATATAATATTAATATAATAAATACTTATGCAAGATAATATTAGTTTAAAGATATAAAGACCAAGATGTGGTGGCCTCTGGTATGAACGCAGTCTCCTTTCAACTTATAGAAGTGGGTTGACCTCGTTTTCGCAACTTGGTCTTGTTGTCAGGGCGACTAAGTAGAACGCACCTAGTCCGAAGTCGTCTGCCATAATAGTTGTCATGACTCCCAGCATCTGACGGTGGATTGATACATTCTTAAAGTAAGTATAATATAATATACCAGCAAGATAATATATTATAATATATAAATTGCCATATAATATTAACATAATAAATACTTATGCAAGATGATATTATTTTAAAGATATAAAGATCAAGATGTTGTGGCCTCTGGTGTA